GTTCCTCTCTTTCTTTCCCTGCCGCCCTGTTTTTTTTCCTTCTGAAAGAATTTAAAACACATCCCAGACATCATGTCATTTTGCCATTAAATACTTTAGTATGCATCTTTCACTGATAAGCGTTTTTTAAACATAACCACCATTACGTTCTTAGATGATTTCTTGATGAGATCAAGCAGAATATAGCAGTAATCAGTAGTGGAATGCTTATGCTGAAAATGAGCATTTTTATGCAAAGTATTAAATTTAGTCCAATTCAGCAAGTGTGTTAATGTCTTTTATGTACAAGGCACTATATGCACAGCACACACAGATGAATCAAGCAGGGGGTCCCAGACCCTGTGAAGAGCCCTAATGAAGGTCCATGAGGCAAACAGACATGTAACTGAAATTCAAGGCGATGTCCAAGGAAAGTCCTTAGAGAGCAGGGAGCCTGGCAGGTGGTAGGGTCTCTGGGAGCATTTGCTGAATAAGAAGTAGAAGTGGGGCAGGCTAGTGAGTTCAAAGGAGGCCTTCCTGTTCAGTAGCAGAGGCTGTCTCTGTCTGTTCAGAGTGAGGTCTGTGTACCTTGGACTGTGAGAAACAGGCCCAATCTCTGCCAACAGTTTTTTAAAATTGTGAAACAGCAATAAAGGAAGATTTCCACACATGCACCGAAACAAAAAGGAAATAAGAACCCACGTATACCCCTACCAGTCTGATGCAGTGAAGTCCTATCTTCTCTAGGAGTGTAAGTCTGAAAGATGATCTCCAAGGCTGAGGGATGGTTCAGATGACCTTTGTGCATCCTTTAAACCAGGGGTCCACAACTTCCAGGCCTCAGACAGGTATCCTGTTAGATCACCAGTGGCACTGGGTTAGAAATAAAGTGCATAATAAATGTAATGTACTTGAATCATCCCAAAACCATCTCCCCTACCTCTCCCCACACCCTCCCCCCTTTCCCAGTCCAAGGAAAACTTGTCTTCCCCGAAATTGGTCCCTGGTGCCAAAAAAGATTAGGGGCTACTGCTTTAAACCACTGTAACGTACGCCTTGTAAGTTCACAAAAATCCACATGTTTATTTGTTTTTTAATTAGATTCCTCCTCTTGGGACCTAAGATTTAGTTTTAACAGAGAACAAGGAGATGAGCCTGTCAACGAAGAGACTTTGCTCTTCTGCCAGGCTGGGATTCCTACAACCAGATGCACACGTGCTGCAACCCCGCTGCTGTCCTCTCTCCACATTTGAATACCTAGACTTAAACAGGCCCTCTGTGGGAGAGGAGGAGAGGAATCTGCTCAGTCATTTACTCAGCGCCTGACTGAGCAGGTGTCCCAGGTGCTCAGGCAGAGGCAACAGCAGGAAGAAGGCAGAGGAGGTGATGAAGGAGTGGAGTCTAGAGTGGATACTGAGGGAAGCGGGCAGTGGGGCTGGGCAGAGGGGTTAGACTCACGTTCTGTAGGGCCTTGAATACCAGGCTGGGGAGTGTGTTCTTAACTCGGTGCATGTGTGTGTGTGCTAAGTTGCTTCAGTTGTGTCTGGCTCTTTGCAACCCCATGAACTATAGCCCTCCAGGCGCCTCTGTCCATGGGATTCTCCCGGCAAGAATACTGGAGTGGATTGCCATGCCTCCAGGGAATCTTCCCGACCCAGGGATCAAACCTGTCTCCTGCATTGGCAGAATTCTTTGCTGCTAACCCACCAGGGCAATGGCACCCCACTCCAGTGCTCTTGCCTGGAAAATCCCATGGATGGAGGAGCCTGGTGGGCTGCGGTTCATGGGGTCGCTAAGAGTCGGACACGACTGAGCAACTTCACTTTCAGTTTTTACTTTCCCACATTGGAGAAGGAAATGGCACCCCACTCCAGTGTTCTTGCCTGGAGAATCCCAGGGATGGGGGAGCCTGGTGGGCTGCCATTATGGGATCACACGGAGTCGGACACGACTGAAGCGACTTAGCAGCAGCAAGCCACCAGGGAAGCCCCAACTCAGTAGATGAGAGGCAAAGCCTTGGCAGCCTTCTTGAATAGATGACCTAGTGCTGGTGTGAACCTGGAGGCAGGTTGGAAGGTTATCACGATAGTCTTGGATGGAGGCAGAGGGCCAGGATGGGAGTGGCAGTTGTGAGGTTTTCACTTCCGTGCACAAATATCTATCGAGTACCTACTATGTGTGAGCCCTGGATATCGAGAAGTGGCAGAGACGCTGAGGAGGTAGAATTGTGAGACTTAGGGACCATCTGCGTGGAGAGTGGGAATGGGCACAGGGGAGTGAAGAACGGGGTGTGGTGCCAGGAGCAGTGGTTGGAAAGGTAAGGGGAGGCGCCGGCTGTGTTTGTTTGGGGAGTGTATGTGTGTTCGTTCCCCTGCGTTGGCTCCAGCTCTCTCTTAGTTTCCAGGTTCAGACGATGGCACCAAGCTTTGTCTTCAGCATCTTGACTTGTCTCCACTGCATCTCAACAATAACATGTTTGCAACCTAATTCATCTCACTCCCCACCCGCCTCTGCCCGTACACCCTCCCTCCCCCCTACCCCCAGGACTGAGCAACCAGTCTGAGCACTTTCACCTTTATTTTAACTACAAATCCTCATGATAACATTGTGAGGTGGTAACTGTTATTCTCCCCATTTTTGCAGATGCGCCACCAGAGAGCTTGAGTAATCTGCCCAGTGTCACACATCCAGTCATGGCACAGTCAGGTTCAGACCCAGTCTGTCTTCCAGACCCCTGGCTCCTCACCACTGCTCTTTACGGCTTCACCGTTTGTTATTCAGGTTAATGTGGTGACCCATGGGAAGGGTCTTCCCATTGTGCTCAGAGCGCAGCAGGATGCTCCTGCTTTGAGAGGACTCTTGATGATACGGTGTTCACAGTTGGTCCTGCCAGGACTGAGGAGGGCAGTCTTGCTGCATGCACAACCCATTCGAGTCTGTCCTTTCCGCATTAAATAAACTTGGTTGACCTTGTCCTCACCCCTGCTGCCGTGCCAAACTCTGACATGAGGGAAGGACCTGAAACCCTGGATGTGGGGTCATTTGGGAATGCCTTGCCTTATGCATGTGACATTTCAGTGTCGACTCCAGAGTCAGCAGATGCTGGAGAGGCAGTGTGTGTGTTAGCACTCTGCCTAGGGCCAGGAAACCCCCCAGCGATGCATCTTTAACACATTCACCTCTGAGACAAGGTGGCAGATGATATTCTAGCATGTTACTCTGTAACATCCATGTCACTGAGGACATTCTTTCATCAGCAGGCCGAGCAGCATTGATTGAACTTTTTGTGGCCGGGGGTCCAAGCCTCACTTGCAGCTAAATGCTTGTGAATATGACATTTGAAGGAATTAGGATTTTGAGTTCTTTCCATTTCCTGGCCACTGAATCATTCTTAGGGAAGTCATGATGTTGTACATTTCGTTAGAAGTATAAATCACAAAAGAACAGTTCCTTGACCTCAGCAGTTTATAATTTGTATGAGTCATAAATAAAAGCAATGTTAAATAAAACTAAACTGTCTGATGGAGGTGATGTGAATATTGTATTGGCAAATGGAAAATTCTGTGTAGGTAGAATTATTCGTCTCCTAACAGGCAAAGTGCTACAGGAGAAAAATGTAGCCTTTTTAAAAGGCTTCACACCAAGTGAATACTGCATAGAAGGCTGTGTATTTGGAGCTTGGGGACAAGACCTTCAAGCAAGGAGTAACTTGCTGCTTATGGGAGCACAGAGAAACGGTTTCACACTCGGGGGGTCCAGGAAGGGGTCACAGAGGAGATGAAAGAATGAGAGTGCATTTGTAGGGAAGTCAGGAGGAGAGGCCTCCGCAGACAGAGGTGTGAGACTGTGGTGAACAGAGGACTTCAGATGATGAGGTGTGACACCCAAGAGGGTGGTGGCAGAGGGAAGGAAGCGTGAAGGGGCCCCGGTAGTAGTTTCTGGGAGGCTGTGAAATGTTGAGGTGCAGAAATGGATTAGATGCCAACATGACCCTCGTAGCAGGAGGGCTTTTTATACAAGTGAAAAGTAACCGGACTGTGACAGTGGCAGTGGGGACATGAGGAGAACACTGACTTCCCTCCCTCCCTCATCAGAACCTGCCTGGTGAGGAGCAGAGTGGTCATCATGAGCAGGTTTTACTAGAGCCAGGATCACAGTGAGCTAGCTTCAAGGTTGGCAGAATTGAGTGGGAGAGTTACATGTGTCAGTGGAAAAAAATACTTTTTGGGGAGTTTAAGTATGATTATACATGGGGACTTCCCTGGTGGCTTAGAGGGTAAAGAATCTGCCTGCAATGCAGGAGACCTGAGTTCAATCTCTTGGGTAGGGAAGATCCCCTGCAGAAATGAATGGCAACCCACTCCAGTATTCTTGACTAGAGAACCCCATGAACAGAGGAGCCTGGCCAGCTACAGTCCATGGGGCCACAGAGGCGGACATGGCTGAGCAACCAACATACATGGGGAAATGAGGACTTTACCTTTGGGCCAAAGCCAAGGATGGCAGAAACCAGAGCGGTGGGGGGTTGACTGGCCTCAAGAACAAAGTGTATTCTGAGATCCTGAGATTTTCAAGTGGGGGCTTTGGAGGTCTCTGGGCACTGCCTGGCATGCTCGAGGACATGTTGGTAGAGCATGGATACAATTAAGAGATTCTCAAAAGACTAAGCTCCAGGGGAAACTGACAGCCTACCCCAACCCTCTGGGAAGATGAGACTCTGATGGGAGGTATTTAGCATCTGGCCTTGGGAGTTTTTCTTGAGGGGCATAGTGGGGCCAGTGTTTATCAAGTTTTGTGATAACAAAACTTGTGCTATCAACTTTTGTGACAGCCTCAGAGGATCCTTCCCATACAGCGTAAAGACTTCTGTTTCTTTCACTGTAGTTGGTAGGATGGGCATTTAATCATCAGGACAAGAATGGTGCTTCTCTTGTTCCTTTTGTTAATTCTTGGTAAATTGCTGCATCTGATTTGATTGATTGATTTTTTTTGTTGTTTTATCCTGGCCCCCTCCTGTTCAGAACCAGACTATCAGGTGTACCTGAATGCTTCTAAGGTCCCTGAGTTCTCAGACGACCTCACCGAGCTGGAATGCCGGATTGTGGATGTTAAGAACCCAGAGGCGAGCGTCCGTTTCACAGTGTCCTGGTACTACAGGGTGAACCGGCGCAACGACGACGTGGTGGCCAGCGAGCTCCTGGCCGTCATGAATGGGGACTGGACAGTCAAGTACGGGGAGCGGAGCAAGCAGCGGGCCCGGGAGGGAGACTTCATTTTTTCTAAGGAGCACCCGGACACGTTCAATTTCCGGATCCAAAGGACTACAGAGGAAGACAGGGGCAATTATTACTGTGTTGTATCTGCCTGGACCAAACAGCGTAACAGTAGCTGGGTGAAGAGCAAGGATGTCTTCTCCAAGCCCATCAACATATTTTGGGCATTGGAAGGTAGGCGCTTCTCGTTCATGAACATTTTTGGTTTGTTTTGGCTTCGGTCATCCTGCTCTGCATTTTCAGATTCACAGTCACCCTGCAGGTTTCCCTTTACACTGGGAATCTAAGAAATGCAATCAAGAGACTGTTCCTTTTATCCTCAGCATGAATCCCTTTGCAGGGCTGACACTGAGAGGGATGAGTCCTAATGAGAGGGCTGGGGCTTGGTCGGAGATAGGTCATCTAGTGGGAGCTCACAGGTGCTTAGAGAAGCCCATCGACACTCTTGCTCCATTGGCTGCTCTCAAGCCAAACTTCACACAGTCCTTTGGGGGTGTTTCAGGATCCATGAGTTCCTGCTGGACGCTGGCACATTTGAGGTAATCCCAGAGTGAGTGGGCAGCCCCAGGCCATGGCATCTGCCCCTGAGCGGCCAGTCACCCATTCAGAGACACCGTTCCTGGGGTGAGCTGACAAGAACTTCAGGGAAACAGTTTCTTTGATGCAGTCTCCTCCTGAATGCTCAGAGCCCTGGGTGACTTGGGACATCAGAACTGGTCAAGGCTTTTATCCTCGGTTTAGTCCGTCACTGCAGGAAGGCCAGGCCTCCTGGGTCCTCCTTCACAGCCCTCCACATGCTTTTGTGGCCTCATTGCCATGCCTCTGAAATCCCCAAACCCCACCCTGGGCCCTCTAGAACTTGGCAAAATCTCCTGCTTCCTGACCTCATCACTGAATATTCCTTTCTCTTCCTCCCAGTAAGCATCCCCCACCTAGCTCTCCCCGAGGGCACCATTTTCCCTGGAGTCTTCCTGAGTGGTGCTGTTTTCTTCTCACTGTGTAACCCAGTCTCGATGGGGCAGGTGCCCTCCACGCCCCTCACTGCAGCCTCCAGGCCTTTTTCCTCCTCCCTAAAAGCATCCAACCTCAGGTCTCCAGTCATCAGATGGTTCCACCTCCCCTCATTGCTGTCACTCCTGGGTCCTCCCCATGCATGCTGTGGAGATGCCTACTCTTGGCTCACAGCCCCTCTGTCCTGCTGTCTTGCTGGCTTCATGATCCTTATAGGCACTGGGTCACATCTGGCTGCCTGTTGGAGTCACCCAAGGAGCTTTAAAAAAGTACTGAAGCTGAAGTCACACAAGAGGTTCTGTCTTAACTGGCCTGAGGTTACTTGCAATCTGGGCACTGAAATTTTCAGATGCACCCAAGATGGTTCTCAGGTGCCTCTGAGGTTGAGAAACCTTTCATTCTTTGTCTCATGTCCCCTTCTCTAGTCATCATGACCTTTGTCCTGTTTGGGTTATTCATTCCCAAGCTTACACCCTATGCTGGAAATCTCACATCTGATAACTGAGAGCCCTCCATACTCTCAATTCCACTCAGCCTATCCTCTCAACACACCTATCTTTCTAGATCACTCCCATTGTTTCCCACTGGCCTATTAACATGCTGTTAGATCTCTTGTTGTGGTCTTTTTTAATTGAAGCTAAGCTAATCTTGATCAAAAAAGATCTTCACGACCCAAATAATCACGATGGTGTGATCACTCACCTAGAGCCAGACATCCTGGAATTCGAGGTGAAGTGGACCTTAGGAAGCATCACTACAAACAAAGCTAGTGGAGGTGATGGAATTCCAGTTGAGCTATTTCAAATCCTGAAAGATGATGCTGTTAAAGTGCTGTACTCAACATGTCAGCAAATTTGAAAAACTCAGCAGTGGCCACAGGACTGGAAAAGGTCAGGTTTCATTTGAATTCCAAAGAAAGGCAATGCCAAAGAATGTTCAAACTACCACACAATTGCACTCATCTCAAACACGATGGTAAAGTAATGCTCAAAATTCTCCAAGCCAGGCTTCAACAGTACTTGAACCATGAACTTCCAGATGTTCAAGCTGGATTTAGAAAAGGCAGAGGAGCCAGAGATCAAATTGCCAGCATTCACTGGATCATCGAAAAAGCAAGAGAGTTCCAGAAAAACATCTATCTTTGCTTTATTGACTACACCAAAGCCTTTGACTTGTGTGGATCACAATGAACTGTAGAAAATTCTGAAAGAGATGGGAATACCAGACCACCTGACCTGCCTCTTGAGAAATCTGTATGCAGGTCAGGAAGCAACAGTTAGAATTGGACATGGAACAAAAGACTGCTTCCAAATTGGGAAAGGAGTACATCAAGGCTGTATATTGTCACCCTGCTTATTTAACTTATATGCAGAGTATATCATGAGAAATTCTGGGCTGGATGAAGCACAGGCTGGAATCAAGATTGCCGGGAGAAATATCAATAACTTCAGATATGCAGATGACACCACCCTTATGCCAGAAAGCAGAGAAGAACTAAAGGGCCTCTTGATGTAAGTGAAAGAGGAGAGTGAAAAAGTTGGCTTAAAACTCAACATTCAGAAAACTAAGATCATGGCATCTGGTCCCATCACTTCATGGCAAATAGATGGGGAAACAGTGGGAACAGTGACAGACTTTATTTGGGGGGGGCTCCAAAATCACTGCAGATGGTGACTGCAGCCATGAAATTAAAACACTCTTATTCCTTGGAAGAAAAATTATGACCAACCCAGACAGCATATTAAAAAGCAGGGACATTACTTTGCTAACAAAGATCCGTGTAGTCAAGGCTATGGTTTTTCCAGTAGTCATGTATGGATGTGAAAGTTAGACTATAAAGAAAGCTAAGTGCCAAAGAATTGATGTTTTTGATCTGTGGTGTTGGAGGAGGCTCTTGAGAGTCCCTTGGGTTGCAAGGAGATCCAACCAGTCCATCCTAAAGGAAATCAGTCCTGAATTCATTGGAAGGACTGATGCTGAAGCTGAAACTCAAATACTTTGTCCACCTGATGCGAAGAACTAACTCATTTGAAAAGACCCTGATGCTGGGATGGATTGACGGCAGGAGGAGGAGGAGACAGCAGAGGATGGGATGGTTGGCTGGCATCACACACTCAATGGACATGATTTTGAGTACACTCTGGGAGTTGGTGATAGACAGGGAGGCCATGTAGTCCATGGGGTCGCAAAGAGTCAGACATGACTGAGCAACTGAACTGAACTGAGTCTTGATCTTGCTTCCCCCACCTCCGTCTTTCTGTTCTCCACACCCCTTGCCTACCCCTTTCTGTTTCTTTCCTTTGATTTCTCTGTTCTCAGTGTCTCCACTTTCTCTCCTCCTATTCTCTAATCTCCTCTCGTCTGGCTTTTGACCCAGCTGACTAGTGAGTGACATACTGCAAAATCTAATGGGTAGTCATCTTTCTTGACTTAGCAGGATTTACCACAGTGATCATTCCCTCTTCTTGGAAATACTTTGGTTTCTCCTTGGTCTGTGGGACACCATCCTCTCTGGGCTTTTCTCCAACCTTGAGCTCTTCTCAGCTTCCTTTGCTGATTTCTATTTACTTTCCTGACCCTCAAACATTAGATGCCTGAGGACACAGTCCTCAGACTCTTTTCCTGTTTTAACCTCTAGTGATCTCTTCTAATCTCACAAATTGAAGCTCCAAGAAAGAATGTGAATGGCTCAGTGGAATCTCAGGAATCAGTAATTCTGGAGAGACCCTGTAACATACATGTTGTCCTAATAGTTTGGTGGAACAACTATTCCCCAGAAAACCCCAGCATAAAAATTTTGTTTTGTAACTGGATGGGTTACAGAATTATATCATTAAAGGGCAAAAGGGTTGTATTTAACTCATTTATCTATCCACTCAACAAACATTTAGGTATCTTCCAAGTGCCTAGCATTGAGCTATTAATATTATAATATAGATGAATTCTAATGTGTGTATGCCTAGAGATTAATTTTTTTTTCTGACAGACAGGAAGTAACACACTTAAACCTTTAAGATAGTAGCCTTGGATGCTAGTTCAGAATTAAAATTAATTAAATTTTAATTGCATCTCTGGAAATGACTATGCATCTTTGCAGTCAGATCTTCATACCCAGATCTACATGTGTATGTTGCAGTCATGTTAGTAATGACCTGTTCTATAATGTTGCCATCGTATGGTGAAACAGCAGTAGAACCCATTTCTCACTTGCTCTGCTACTATCCTTGCACCCAGGGGAGCCCCAATGCGGAGATGCAGGTGGCAATGCCTAGAGCTGCATCTTCCCCACTTCACTAGAAGCAAGTTCTGCCTCACATCCGTGGGGGCACCAATAGCTTCCAAATTCTCACTCTGGGTGAGACTTCTCAAGACTTCTCAAGAAAATCCTTCAAAGCAAATTCTCCATCGATCCTCTGTCCTCTCACACCTATTAAATTGAAGCAGACTGCTCTGCCTCCTCCAGCGTGGTGGTATTCAGCCTGCTTCCTGACACACGCTATTTTCTTTCTGAGTTTCCAGATTTTCCTAAATGCTATTGTGTGGCAATTTACAAATAAATTTCTATTTCCTTGACATTGTGCTTTCAGATGCATATCCATTTAGCTAATCCTGTTAGAAATCACATCTTTCTGGTACTTCATTGCAGATTCCGTGCTTGTGGTGAAGGCAAGGCAGCCCAAGCCTTTCTTCGCTGCCGGAAATACATTTGAGATGACTTGCAAAGTGTCTTCCAAAAATATTAAGTCGCCACGCTACTCTGTTCTCATCACGGCTGAGAAACCCGTTGGGGACCTCTCCAGTCCCAATGAAACCAAGTACATCATCTCCCTGGACCAGGATTCCGTGGTGAAGCTGGAGAACTGGACAGATGCATCGCGGGTGGATGGTGTTGTGTTGGAGAAAGTGCAGGAAGATGAATTTCGCTATCGAATGTACCAGACTCAGGTCTCAGATGCAGGCCTCTACCGCTGTGTGGTGACAGCCTGGTCTCCTGTCAGGGGCAGCCTGTGGCGAGAAGCAGCAACCAGTCTCTCCAATCCTATTGAGATAGACTTCCAGACCTCAGGTGAGCAGGGAAACTTGGTACATCATAGATTGACTGGAAGAGACCGTGGGGTTTTGATCCAGTGACCTCATTTTTTTTAAACAGCTTAATTGAGATGTAATTCACATGCCATGCAGTTTACCCATCTAAATATATAGTATGTATTTAAATACACTATGTATGTGCTCAGTTGTGTCTGACTCTTGGTGAACCCATGGACTATAGCCCACCAGGTTCTTCTGTCCATGGGATTTCCCAGGCAAGAATGCTAGAGTAGGTTGCCATTTCCTTCCCCAAGGCATCCTCCCAACCCAGGGATTGAACCCTAGTCTCCTACATGTGCTGCAGGATTCTTTACCACTGATCCAACAGAGAATGTACTATACTATAGTATATTTAGTATTTAAATACTATACTATAGTATTGGGTTGGCCAAACGTCCATTCAAGTTTTTCCATAAGATGTTACAGAAAAACCCAAACAAGCTTTTTTGGCCAACCCAATGTTTATACTACACTATAAATATAAATGTATAGTATATTCACAGAGTTGTGCAACCATCACCACTATCAATTATAGAACATTTTCATTACAATTAATAGAAACCTGCACCCTTAGCTGACACCCTTTAGTCCTCCACCTCGCCCCCTCAACACCCCCAACTCTGCTCCCCAACCTCCTGTCCCCTGGAAACCACTTACTTCCTTTCTGTCTCTGTAAACTTGCCTATTCTGGACATTCCACATAAATGGAATGTAATATATAGCCTTGTGTCTGGCTTTTTTCATGTAGCATGTTTTCAGGAGTCATCCACATTGCAATATGTATCAGTACTTTGTTCCTTTTTTTTTTAATTACTTTTTTTTTCTTTTTTGTTCTATGTCTATATTTTTTTGGTTGTGCCTTGCAGCTTGTTGGATCCTAGTTCCCTAACCAGAAATTGAACCTGTGCCTTCAGCAGTGAAAGCACAGAATCCTAACCATTGGATTGCTAGGGAATTTTATATATATATATATTGTTAGAGTTTCAGCCTTTTATTTAGTACCCAGAGAATGACAGTAATTTAACATGCTATCTTGGTAAATGTTGCTCACAGAGTTTTAACAAGAATAAAAATAAATGTAATAATTTCTGTGTCATCTTTGGCATGTTGTAAATTCAGAATGTTAGCTGCTTTTTCTTTTTAGCAGCACTGAGGAAAAAGCACTGTAAAAATGCAGTTCTGGATTTGGTTTTACATGAAAAATGTAGTACAATGAAAACTTTAATGTCAAAAGGAGCAGTGCTTTAAAGAAGAAAGGGAGAGTTAGTTGCTCAGTTGTGTCTGACTCTTTGTGACCCCATGGACAGTAGCAGACCAGGCTCCTCTGTCCAGCAAATTCTCCAGGCAATAATACTGGAGTGGGTAGCCATTCCCTTCTCCAGGAGATCTTCCCAACTCAGGGATTGAACCCAGGTCTCCTGCATTGCTGGTAGATTCTTTACCATCTGAGCCACCATTGAAGCCTGCTTTAACTAAACCATTTATAAAATAAATGAGATATAAACTCATAGTCAGAAAAAGAAAATATCATTGTCTGAATATTGGGGACCTTTCATTTCATTTGCAGCTTTAAAGTTTTAAGTACCTGTGAATCAAATTTACACACAACTTTTCCTTAATGTCATTTTTGTCTTGAGAAATGCAAATTAATGCCAGTAAATACCACATTTTCTATGTCAGAAAATAAGTTTAGGAATTTCAAAGTGCTTGGGAAGACTGGTTTTTTTTTTGGTGGCTATAGCAAACTGTGCTCTCTCCACATAAACCTGTGTAACTCACAACTACAAATACTACTGATTGATTTTAAAAAATCAAACTCAGGAAAACCACATATTCCCTCCTTTTTTTACTTGAGCATTTAATGCAAGAGAAATTCTCATTAGCACTTCATTTTTATGACTGAATAATATTCTATTATGTGAGTACACCACATTTTGTTTATCTATTGATCAGCTAATGAACATTTGAGTGTTTCCAGTTCTTGATTATTATGAGTAATGCGGCTGTGAACATCTGGGTGCAGATTTTTGTGTGAACCTACTACCTTTACTTTGACCCGCATTTATTCCCCCAATATTTATTTGTTTACTTTCGGTTGTGCCGTGTCTTTGTTGCTGTGCACGGGCTTTCTCTGGTTGCAGAGAGTGGGGGCTGTTCTCTAGTTACTTGCACTGTGCGGGCTTCTCATTGTGGTGGCTTCTCTTGTCGCAGAGCTCAGGGTGTAGTCGCGCAGGCTTCAGTAATTGCAGCTCCCCGGCTTTAGAGCACAGGTTCAGTCGTTGTGGCACACAGGCTTAGTTGCCCTGCGGCACGTGAAATCTTCCCAGACCAGGGATTGAACCCATATCCCCTGCGTTGCCAGGCAGATTCTTAACCACTGGCCTACCAGGGAAAGCCAACCCCCTCATTTTTAAAACAGATCGGTTGACACACAGCTATATCAACTCCTTCCGGGAACATGGCAGAGTATAAAGAAAGAGGGAACTGGGCCTCCAGAGGCATTAAATGACTTGCCAAGAGTGAAAGATTCAAAGCTAAGACCCACATTTTATCCAGCCCATGGTTTTCACTCTTTGAGGTCCCTAGGACTGAAGGTGGTAGGTGCTATTCTTGGTCTTATCACAGCAGTATTTCCATACACGGGTGACAGCCCAAACTTGGGCCTCACCTTTTTGCCTTTGGACTAGGAAAAGATTTCCAATTAGTTGAGTCTCCAGAGCTGTGGTGGTATGTGTGACTGTGTCTGTTGATCTGCTTTGTTAAGAGTATTTATTAGCAGTGTTCATCTGTGAGAGGGTTAATTAAAACAGGAGCATTTTGGTGTCTGTTCTGAATGATTTATCTTTGGTAAGTCAAATGTTTTTATGCCTTAAGTTGGGAAGATCTACTTTTTTTTTTTAATAGCATATATACATATTCTCAAATGGAAATGTTTCTTATTCATCTGTGTAGTTCATTAAGCTCCTCTGACAAATCCATGTGTGTTTCAGCAGGTAGATGATTTAAAAATTTTTGATTCCCAATCTTATTTAGAATATCAAAGTGAAGGATCATCACTGTTGAGTTTAATGCTGAGTGTTTTCACTAAATCTGCCCTGGATTCCAGTTAGAAATTTCTAAATGTATAAAATCATACTCACCTATAAAGATTCAAGTGTTAATTGAATCAGTGCAATGAATGCAAGATATTTGTTGAATTGCGTTTATATTAAAGGTAAACTAAATCTTGGTAAAGTTTGTTTTTGTTTTTTTAAATTTTTTAATTGGAGGATAATTGCATTACAGTGTTGTGTTGGTTTCTGTTCTGGCATCTAATAATTTCTCAACCTTTAATAAAGAGTGAATATTGATTTTAGACCCTTGGAATTGGAAAGAACAGAGAAAATACAAGAGTCTCTTATTTATTTTCTTATAATAGCTTTATTGAAATAAGCCTTAATATACCATAAAATTCACCCATTCAAAATATCAATTTAATGGTTTTTAGTATATTCACAGATATATATTGTACAACCATTGCTAGTATCTAATTCTAGAACTTTTTAATCATTCCAAAAAAGCAAACTCTGTACCTGTTAATAATCACTCCTAACTCTACCTCTGGCCTCTGGCAACCACTATTCTACTTTCTCTATAGATTTGCCTTTTTAAACATTTCATATGATTTGAAACATATGTGGGCTTTTGTGACTCTCTTCTTCTGCTTTAGCATTATGTTTTCAGGGTCTATCATATTATATCATGTATCAATAATTAATTCCTTTTTATCGCTGAATAATATTCCAGTGTAAGACTATACCACATTTTGTTTAGCTGTTCATCAGTTGATGGACCTTTAGATTGTTTCCATCTTTTGGCCATTATGAGTAATAATATGCTGACATAAATGTTAGTGAACAAGTTTTTGTGTAGATGTTAAGTTTTCATTTCTCACCTAGGAGTGATGCTCCGTCATCAGGTAACTCTTTAATTCTTTGAGGAATTGCCAAATATTTTCCCAAAGCAGCTGCACCATTTTGCATTCCTACCAGCAATGTGTAAGGGTTCCAATTTGTCCTCATTCTCACTGGTTAGTTATTGTTATTCTCCATCTTTTTTTTTTTTTTAATTATAGCCAACCCAGTATATGTGAGGGCTTCCCTTGTGATTCAGTGGTGAAGAACCTGACTGCCAATGCAGGAGACATAAGAGATGAGGATTGGATCCCTGGGTTGGGGAAGATCCCCTGGAGAAGAAATGGCAACCCACTCCAGTATTCTTGCCTGGGATATCCCATGGACAGAGGGCCCTGGCAGGCTACAGTCCATGGGATCATAAAAAGAGTCAGACACAACTTAGTGACCAAACAGCAACAACAAGTGTATGTGAAGTAGTATTTCATTGTGGTTTTAATTTGTATTTCCTTAATGACTGTTGATGTTGAGCATCTTTTCAGATATTAAGAGTTATTGGTCATATGTGTATCTTCTCTGGAGAGATGTCTAATCATACCGTTTACCTCTTTTTTAATTGTTTTTTTTTTTAATTGTTGGCTAGTGGAGCTTTTCATACTTTGAATACAAAAGTCCTTCAACAAAATACGTGATTTGAAAATATCTATTCTGTATGTAGTCTTTTCACTTTCTTAATTGTGTCCTTTGAAGCACCAGGTTTTTAATTTTGATGAAGACCAATTTATCTATAGTTTATTTTTGTTGCTTGTGGGTTTGGTGTCATATCTAAGAAACCATTACCTAATCCATGGCTGTGAGGATTTACACCTATGGTTTCCTCTGAGAGTTTTACAGTTTTAGCTCAAACATTCAGGGCTATGATCCATTTTGAGTTAATTTTTGTTTGCGGTATGAAGTTGGGATTCAGCTTTATTCTTTTGTGTGTGACCACTTAGTTGTCCTGGCACCATTTGTTGAAAAGTCTATATTCTTTCCCCCATTGAATTTGGTACACTTGTCAAAAGTCATTTAACCATTAAAAAAAAAAGGATTTATTTCTGAACTTTCAGTTCTGTTCTGTTGATCCTTTTATCTTTTCCTGTACCAGAATCACATTGTTTCATTACTATAGCTTTCTAGTAAGTTTTGAAATAAGTGTGACTCTTCTGGCTTTGTTCTTTTTCAAAATTGTTTTGGCTTTATGGGTCGCTTGCATTTCCACATGAATTTTAGGATCAGCTCATTAATATTTTCAGAAAAGATAACTGGGACTTTGATAGGGATTGTGCCAAATTTGTAAATCAGTTTGGAGAGTATTACTATTTAACAATATAGTTTTCTAATCCATAAACATGAGATGTCTTTCCATTTATTTGGGTCTTTTAAAATTTTTCAATGGTGTTTGTAGTTTCCAGCATACAAATGTTGAACTTTTTTCATTAAATTTGTCCTAGGTATTTTATTGTTGATGCAACTGTAAATTAATTGCTTTCCTAATTTCCTTTTCAGGTTATTCATTGCGAGTGTATAGAAACTGAACTGACTTTTATACATTGATCTTGTATCCTGCAACCTTGCTGAATTTGTTTATTAGTCCTAATAGTTTGTTGTTGTTGTTTTTGTTGATGGCTTAGGCTTTTTAAATATAGGACCATGTCATCTGCAAATAGAGATAGTTTTACTTCTTATATTCAGTTTTCCTTCAGTTCAGTTCAGTTCAGTCGCTCAGCTGTGTCCGACTCTTTGCGACCCCATGAATCACAGCACGCCAGGCCTCCCTGTCCATCACCAACTCCCAGAGTTTACCCAAACTCATGCCCATCGAGTCGGTGATGCCATCCAGCCATCTCATCCTCTGTCGCCCCACTTCTCCTCCTTCCCCCAGTCCCTCCCAGCATCAGGGTCTTTTCCTTAATGCCTTCTAATTACTTTTCTTGCTTAATTGTCCTGGCTAGAATCTCTAGTAGAGCGTTGAACAGTAGTGGCACAAGAGGACATCCTTGTCTATTTCCTGATCTTGAGGGAATTTTTCCTGTTAAGTATCTTTTACCCTTAAGTATCTTGCTAGCTATGGGTATTTCATAGACAGCAAATATTGAGTTGAGGAAGTTTTCTTTCATCCCTAATCTGTTGAGTGTTTTATCACGAATAAGTGTTGGGTGTTATCAAATGCTTTTTTCTCTGACTATTGAGATTCAGATGATTGTGTGGGTTTTGTTCTTTGTGTTATCTGTTTTTATTGTCTATAGGATTTTATTCCATTTTGTTTTACATTTGCTATTTGATGTTTCTTTAAAACTATTATGAGAAAGAAGGGAGACATAAAATCTTTTATATGTATTTCTAGGTGAGGAATGGGTATTGAATCTATTACTCAGTTCTTTAAATCTCATCGTAACAGATAAAATCACTGTAGCTTACAGGTTGAATAGACTGCTTAAGTTTTTTGCTTTATTAAATTCATGGAGTTGTCATGGGTTCACCGTTTAATTAAGAGGAGCCGCATCAAATCCAACACCCAGCACATTGCAATAGCCCTGAATAGCTCCACGAGAATATTGACTTGATACTGAAGAGCTTTCACTTCCTAAAAGTCATCAGCACACAGTAAAATACATGTAACAGAGAGGTCTTTCCTGGTGTCTACCTTTTTGTCCTCTGTTTTCAGGACACTTACCTCTTGGTATAAGGACCGTGTTCCCCAAGGGGCCTTACTGAGTTGTGACATCTTCTAAGTACCTGAGTACCTGGGGTTTAAATGTGATGATGTTACATATTTAATATTTGATGTTAAAAGAATAATAATAACATTTTTCTTCTTAATAGAGAAGTTTGAAAATATAATAAAATACAAGGAGGAATAACCCAATCACCCTTCATCTTACCAGAGACTGTTAATATTTTTTAGTGGTATTTTTTATCTTAGAATTTTTCCCTTGCATGTTTTCTTCGTGACTTTGAAATCAGGCTGTATATGCAATTTTATGACCTGCTTTCCCCCACTTTAACATTATAAGATAAGCATTTTCCATGTTATAAAAAATTATAGGTAAATACCAACTTTAATGCTTACACCTGCTAGAATTTGGCTAACCATTTCTCTACTGAAGACATGCAGATGGTCTGCAGTTTTGGCTTTCACAGAAATACTGTCCTTTATAGCCTTTTCTTAGGGGCTAGACTTGGACCATGGTTTGTGTCAATGTTTGTATTTAAAAGTTAAGTGGTCTGTGTACTCTACAGATAGAAATCTGGGGACATGTAGTGGCCCTAGTTGTTCACTTAGATTATCTATGCCATAATCTGTCATCTGTGAAGCTAACCAGACACATTCCCTCACAAAAGCAGCATTACCCAGAAATTGACCATAATAAAAATATTTCTAACCCTGGGATAATGACCCATATTAACAGTGAGTTGTTGATTTCGTCCGAAGGAAATCCACTGCTGTGAATAGCTCACAATGCAGGCCTTTTCCCTGGTCCTCGTCTGTGTGGTGAGAATGGCACAGATCCTCTCTTGTTCCCACGGGCCATGAGGAGAAATGAGAACTGTAACTTGTGATCCAGAAGGCATTTTGGGGTTCTTTGGGAAATGGAAAGAAAGGGAAATTTGTCCAAATTAGGTAAAGAAAATATGTCCACATTTCTTTGCTGTTTCTAATTAAGTAAAGAGGAACCGAAATCCATTATGAGGCTCTCCTTGTGTTTTATTATCTTGTGTTCTCTGAGAAGGTGCCTGGAGTGCTTTAAGCAAGCCCCATAGTATAGTTCTATTTTTAACCATGAAATTTCTTGTCAGAGGAAAAAAGTTTAGTCCCCATTGCTCACCATGGTTGCTACTAACCTGTCCTCACAGATGACCATAAATGGCATGAAGTCTCCCCAGTCATCACCACTGAGCCAACTCAGAGCAACTGGCTTAATCCTTTCCCACCTCACTGCTATAAACAGAGCAAATCCAGGGTGGTAAGGACCTGAGCAAACCATGGCCAAGAGCCGAGGTAATTGAGGGACATGATGCCCAGAAGTGGGTCAGGTTTCCTTGTCCTTTTCCCTTTCATCCCATTCCCTATGTCCTGGAACTGCCATTCTATTGTGTTCTCCATCCCCTAGGCCCAATCTGAGTGCTCAGCAGAACCAACCAGAGCTGTCTGACGCCTCAAGGTTTCCATGTTCTACAACCATCCTTCACCTTTCTCCCAGCAAAACACACATTACTCATGAACTTGGTGTTAGAAAAGCCCTCTGTTGAATTCATCTTACTACTTATGTTGAGATAAAAGTATAGCCTTTTCAATTCTTTGCCTCATTGGTTCCCATGACCTTTTACTCTCTTTCTTACAGTTATTTCTTTTGGATGTTAAAAAGTACCTTTTCCTTCCTGATAATCTGATTTTAAAGGTAGTTACACCTGTATTCTTAGCTTCGAATGAGTTTCAGAATCAGTGTCCAGGGCCATCTATCTTTACTTTCAAGAAAACGCAAGGGAAATCCCATAGCATTGGTATTCTGGAATTGTCTTCAGGCTTGCCTATTCCTAGATGTTAAAATTGGGATATGGTAACTATTAAACTCTTAGGATCAGTTGGCTTAAAGCTGCTTAATAATTTCACCTAAAAAGTAAGCTGTCAAAGGGTTAAAACCAAAGAATGCAGTACCTAGCCCTTCTCTACCTCAGGAGGGGATTGGAGCTACAGGTTTCTTCCATACAAGGCATACCTTTTTTCAATATAAAAAGTCATTTATTTGTGCCTAGTAATGAAACAGCACAATGATAATTATCCCTACAGCCAAATGCATCCAGCTGACTCTATAGTAAATATTATTAACTTGTAGCCCAAAATTATTTTTACTTTACCCTTCATATTTTCTTGCCCATACATATGTTCATTGCCTTACAGCTTACAAACTTGAAACAGCCCTGCCTTGCAGTGAATCAGTGATAATATGAGAAGTCAGCATGGTTTGTGTAGAACCATCTTCTGGCCTTTGGGAGAAGGAAAGGGGTCATTTATAAAAGTAAACTGGGTATTGAGGGAGGATTCCAGTCAAGCAGGCAGGACAGGTCCTGTCTGGGTGGTATTTAAAAGGAGTATCAAGCTGCCTCCATTTCCCCCAGCAGATTGTAATCGCCTTCAGCCATACCTTGTAGCAACGTCATCATTGTTGGCTTGCCCGTCTCCCTACTGGATGTCAGCCTCGTAACAGCCTGAGCCACTCTGGCCTGGAAGTGAACTTTGTGGAGCCAGAAACATCCCCGACTGTACCAGGATGGGAGGTGGGGTGGTCTCGAAATGAGACTGTGGTTGGAATCTTAAGGTGAAGCTCAGATGAAAGTACTTATTCTTGTCTCTCTGAAGAGAAGAAAAGCATCCTTAAAAAGCTATTATTTTGTGGATTTCTCGCCCAGTTCCAAGGAAAGGGAGCCCACATTTAGATGCACATTTGTGCACCAAGAATGGGATTTAAACAAAAGTGTGAAAGAGGATCATGACGTGATGTTACTTTCTTCCAGGTCCTATATTCAATGCCTCGGTGCATTCAGACACGCCGTCGGTCGTCCGGGGAGATCTCATCAAACTGTTTTGTATCATCACTGTCGAAGGAGCAGCCTTGGATCCAGGTACCTCTCTCCATCCTTTCCCCTTCCTCATACTGCTTTTTTAAGTGTTTCTCATATCATCCCCACTGTGTTACAAATGTGAAGGTCAGGGATTGGATTGGCTATTTATTCCCAAAGTGCCTAGCTCGGTCCTTTGTATTCAGTAGATGTTTACTGAGAACTTGTTAAAATGGATGCCACTATCTGTTAGATGGTTTGAAAATACAGCCAGACATTTGAATGCAAGTTCTCGTGGTGATCCAGTGGTCACTTCAGGGGCTAATTCCAGCTGGTTTGCAACCCACTGGCAGAGTCCAGCTCCTTCTGTTTTGTCTTTCGTTTATTCCTTCAGATAGTTATTGAACTCCTGTAAACAGATGCTGTTCTAGATACTGGGAATAGAGAGGCATGATCAAAATATTCTACGTCTACTTTCATGGAGTTTGCAGCCTAGTTTATTAAACAGACAAGAAAGAAATTGCCATATATGTAGTATCGGATAGTGATTAACACTGGAGAAATACAAAGCAGAGTAAATGAGTGGCAAGTAACCAGGGTATGCTATTGCAGTTTAAACTTTTAGGAAGTCTTTGTAAATCTTTTCTTTGCAGAAAATATTAGCACTGCCAACAGGATGCCCAAGAGTTGTGGGCCAGCAACCTTATACCTTTTCTGTTTGGCCCCCTTAGTATGAATTTCTGTGCTTCTCACTTAGATCCTCAGGGTTTGAAAGAATATTAAATGTATGCAGGTGTGTCTCTGCCTTCTAAAGAGCCTGTGGAGACCCTGACTCCCTGCCTAGGGGCTGCCCATGCTCTGACCTCCGGTGTCTTGTACTGCCTTCTCCATCATAGGCAGAGCCATGACCTCACACAGCTTTGCACCTTGAAAAGGCCAGATTGTGCAGAGATCACTGAGTTCTTGGTGGAGACCACTGGACATGTGGCCCTAGAGTGGAAACGAAGCAGGTCTTCATTCTGTGTTAAGGGCAAGCTGTCCGTAAACAGGGTGGGCTATAGTTGATCTTGTGTGGCCAACAGGAGCAGAGGCTCCTGAGGTCTGACTCCCGCATGGCCCGCGGCTGAAGGTTCAGGTGTGTCTAGCTTAGGGTCAGCAAACCTCTTCTGTAAGGGACCCAGGTAGGGAGTATTTTCAGTTTTTTTGGCTCTGTGGGCCAGATGATCTCTGAGGCAGTTACTCTACTCTGCTGTTATAGAGGGAAAGCAGCCAAAGAGAACAAACAAATGGGCCTGGCTGTGTTCCAGTGAAACTATTTACAAAAACAGGTGGTGGGCTGGCTTGACCTGCAGGCTGCAGTTTACTGAACCCTGCACACATTGACTGATACCAAAATTGACTCTTGTCAGGAACCTAAATATGATCGAGCTTTAGAGGTTAAAAAAAAAAAGGAGAAGGGTTTATGGAAAGCATAAGAAAAGGAAAAGAAAGAAAAAAAAAAACCATCAAAGATCAGTCAACTCTGTCCTCTGTGGTCAGGAAGGAGCCACCATTCCTATGGAGGCTGCCAGGAAAGGGGGAGCAGGGAGGTACTTTGCAAAAGTTGAAATGATTTAATACTATTTTTGCCTCTAAAATTTATTTATTAAAAATGTTTTTTAAACTTTTTATTTTGTTTTGGTGTATAACCAGTTAACAAACAATGTTGTGGTAGTGTCAGGTGAGCAGTGAAGGGACTCAGCCATACATATACATGTATCCATTCTCTCCCAAAGTCGTCTTCTATCCAGGCTGCCACATAACATTGAACAGAGTTGCCTATACTATATAGTAGGTCCACTGCAATGTTCTTGCCTGGAGAATTCCGTGAACGAAGAAGGCTAGTGGGCTACAGTCCTTGGGGTTGCAAAGAGTTGGACATGATTGCGCACAAGGCACCTAGGTTCTCATTGGTTATCCATTTAAAATATAACAGTGTGTATATGTCCTCCCTAACTATCCCTCCCCCACAATCCTTCTGTTTATAAAAAATTTTTAAGCTCATTTATAAATATACAAAAATGTAACATTTAAATGTCTTTCTCATAAATGAATGGGTCACCAATTGTGCCCTTAACATGAATCTTTCCCTCCAATGTAATCGCAAAAGCTATAGGTAGCTGTTATCTTGCACATCACAATTTTCCAGAACTTTGCACTCATAAACTGCATGGTAGAAGATTCTAAATAATTAAACACAAGTTGTGGTTTCGTTTTTCCTCACGTTTCCTATGGGCTGTGAAGGAATTCTCTTCTGGAAAGGACATGTGGCCCAACTGGGCCGAGTGCCAACACAGGGGGAGGGATGGGGAGGATCACAGCTCTTTAGAGGCGGGGTCTTAAGTCAGATTCCCTAGAAGCAAAACCTGAGACAAGCGTACGAGTGATTAATTGAAGATGTGCCCTCAGGAGGAAACTACGAGGGACTGAGGCAATCAAGGTAGAACTAGGAAAGAAGCCAGGCAGAGATCTGAATTCAGAACAAGTGTAAGTCCCTATGGGGCTCTCCAGAGCATGGATTACACCACAGAGTGTGACCTTTTGAGCTAAGGCTTTTATACCTACCCTCCCCAGTTGTTGGTCATCATCCACAGTGAATGGCTGGGGAGGGGCAGCGTGTCTTCACCCCCAGGGGTGGCTCTCCTGGTGGTGGCTTCTGTCAGCTGAGGACAGTCCTCCGGAGAAGGATTCAGATGTGGGAGCTTAGCAGGTGGGGGCCCAGCGCGCCAGCTGGTCAGGGCAGGGTGCCAGGAACATCTGCTGCAGGCAGGAGTGCCCTTCCTGTCAGGGCATCTCCTGGTGCAGAGTGTGTATGTTGAACTGTGGAGATAAGGATGTTCATGGCGGCCACCTTTTACTGTGCACTTACTACATCACAGGTGCTATTTTAAGCATTTTATACAGCTGACTAACCGTGGGTGCTATTGTAATTCCCTTTTAGAGAGGAGGAAACTGAGTCACTGTGAACTTAAGTGACTCACCCAGGTCACACAGCTGATGAGAGCTAGGACTCTAGCCTGAATAGCCTGACTCTACAGCCTGGCCACCATACTGTAAGGCGTGGCTGGATGGGGGTTAGAGTCCGGGCACAAGTAATATGGACACAGCTGCGACTCTCTGCCTTCAGAAACGCCCAGCGCCTGCAGGTGACAGCAGCCCTGAGCTGGTTTTCACTGAGGACCTGGGAGTGATCTGCTCTGCCCAGGCACTGGCCAGAATGTGAGGACATTGACCACATGCCCTCTGCCCTCAGGGAGCTGGTCATTTGGCAAGAGATGGCCTGCATGCTGGGAACACTTGCTCAAGTGCCTCGGTGGGTTGATGGGAAGGAAAAAAATGATATTTTGGTGCCTCAGAGTAGAGAGCTGACATCACATGTAGAGTTGAGATTTGTCTATGGCCATTAACATGTTAGGCTACCCACTCCAGTATTCTTGCCTGGAGAATCCCATGGACAGAGGAGCCTGGCAGGCTACAATCCACAGGATCGCGGAGTCGGACACGACTAAAGCAACTTAGCACTTAACATTTTTATTGTGAGTTGAAAAGGAATTATCATTTGAACAGTTTTGCAGAAATTCTCACTTTGGGGGAATTCCTTGGTGGTCCAGTGGTGAGGACTCCGTGCTTAACCACTGCAGGGTTCTATCCCTGGTCAGGGAACTAATATCCCACAAGCTGAGAGATGTGGCCCCCCCGCAAAAAAAGAAAAAAATTCTTGCCTTTAATTTTGCTTACATTCTTTTTCTCTGTGTAAGCATCTGAATATGATTTATTTGCCTTATAATGTGCTTTTTGAGGTTATTAGTGTATTTTTACTAAATGGATGTTAGTTTTTGTTTAATAAAAATTGTGTCATTTAACATTTGTATAGAAAGTCCTGTCAAGTGAATTTAAGATAAAGCAGTGTTTGTGGCCTGCTTTCTTGCCTGCTGGGCGACTCTCAGACCTGACACAGCTGGTATCACTTGGTAACTGTCAGAAGAAGAGGTCAGAGGCTTAGGATGTGCAGCCTCATTTCCACGTTCGATGAGAATTACCACTTGTGCCAAAGTCGTCTTACTCTTGTGCCCACATTAATTTATTTGAGGCTGTTAGAACCTTGATTTTGCAGAGTACTTTACGATTCCACAGCATTCCTCACTGGGACTGTTAAACCGTGTTCAATTTTCTCAGCTTGACATTTTTTTTCCTCTTGTTTTGAACTTAAGCACTTCAGGGGGGAAAAAAAAAATCACAGTGAACAATAAAATCTAAACTGTTTACAACTCTCCATTTTGTACGATTCACTTTATTATTTTTTTTTCCGTTTTTCCTTCCAGTTTTATTAAGATAAAATTGACATACATCCCTGTACAGGTTTAAGGTACACAGCATAATGATTTCACTTATATACATCATGAAATGGTTATCACAATAAGTTTAGTGGACATCTATCATCTCACATAGATACAAAAAAGTGGGGGTTTTTTCCCTGTAATGAAAACTCTTAGAATTTATTCTCTTAACGTTCATATACATCATGGAGCAGTGTTAACTATAGTCATCATGTGTATACTACATCACTAGTATCTATTTATCTTATAACTGAAAGCTTATATCTTTTTTTTTTTGAGCCAATTCAACATAAATAAGATTTATACAATTTTCACGCAACAGTAGAATACAAATTCTACTCAAGTTCCCATAGACTGTAAACTAGGAGACACTGGAACATATCCAGGGACATAAAACAAGGTGCAAAAATTTCATGATCTAAAGATACTGAAATCATCCAGAGTCTTTGAACGATTCACTTTATGTCCGTGTTGTCGCTTACACCTAGTGTCCTTCCAGTCTTGGGTTCTTCTGCCTGAAATGCTGAAGGACCTGCTTTCCTTGGGGGAGAGAGCGGTCTGTGTCGCCACACACCAGCTTTCCATCGCGTGCTCTGTAGAGGAGACATTTTGGGGCTCTGCTCCTTCAGCTGGGTGGTGGCCGCGGCCTGGTTAGAAGGCTGGATTCTGCAGTTGGGTGGTGGCCGCGGCCTGGTTAGAAGGCTGGATTCTGCAGTTGGGTGGTGGCCGCGGCCTGGTTAGAAGGGTGGATTCTGCAGTTGGGTGGTGGCCGCGGCCTGGTTAGAAGGCTGGATTCTGCAGTTGGGTGGTGGCCGCAGCCTGGTTAGAAGGCTGGATTCTGCAGTTGGGTGGTGGCCGCGGCCTGGTTAGAAGGGTGGATTCTGCAGTTGGGTGGTGGCCGCGGCCTGGTTAAAAGGCTGGATTCTGCAGTTGGGTGGTGGCCGCGGCCTGGTTAAAAGGGTGGATTCTGCAGTTGGGTGGTGGCCGCGGCCTGGTGAAAAGGCTGGATTCTGCAGTTGGGTGGTGGCCGCGGCCTGGTGAAAAGGCTGGATTCTGCAGTTGGGTGGTGGCCGCGGCCTGGTGAAAAGGCTGGATTCTGCAGTTGGGTGGTGGCCGCAGCCTGGTTAAAAGGCTGGATTCTGCAGTTGGGTGGTGGCCGCGGCCTGGTTAGAAGAGTAGATTCTGCAGTTGGGTGGTGGCTGTGACCTGGTTAGAAGGGTGGATTCTGCAGTTGGGTGGTGGCCGCGGCCTGGTTAGAAGGCTGGATTCTGCAGTTGGGTGGTGGCCGCAGCCTGGTTAAAAGGCTGGATTCTGCAGTTGGGTGGTGGCCACGGCCTGGTGAAAAGGCTGGATTCTGCAGTTGGGTGGTGGCCATGGCCTGGTTAGAAGGCTGGATTCTGCAGTTGGGTGGTGGCCGCGGCCTGGTGAAAAGGCTGGATTCTGCAGTTGGGTGGTGGCCGCGGCCTGGTTAGAAGGCTGGATTCTGCAGTTGGGTGGTGGCCGCGGCCTGGTTAAAAGGGTGGATTCTGCAGTTGGGTGGTGGCCGCGGCCTGGTTAGAAGGCTGGATTCTGCAGTTGGGTGGTGGCCGCGGCCTGGTTAGAAGGCTGGATTCTGCAGTTGGGTGGTGGCCGCGGCCTGGTTAGAAGGCTGGATTCTGCAGTTGGGTGGTGGCTGCAGCCTGGTTAGAAGGCTGGATTCTGCAGTTGGGTGGTGGCTGCGGCCTGGTTAAAAGGCTGGATTCTGCAGTTGGGTGGTGGCTGCAGCCTGGTTAGAACGGTGGATTCTGCAGTTGGGTGGTGGCCACGGCCTGGTTAAAAGGCTGGATTCTGCAGTTGGGTGGTGGCTGCAGCCTGGTTAGAAGGGTGGATTCTGCAGTTGGGTGGTGGCCGCAGCCTGGTTAAAAGGGTGGATTCTGCAGTTGGGTGGTGTCCACGGCCTGGTTAAAAGGCTGGATTCTGCAGTTGGGTGGTGGCCGCAGCCTGGTTAAAAGGGTGGATTCTGCAGTTGGGTGGTGGCCACGGCCTGGTTAAAAGGCTGGATTCTGCAGTTGAACTCCTGGGTTAGGCCACATACTCTGCAACCTCCCAGCTGTGTGATCTCAAACAAGGTTAATGGGTCCCTCCAGAGATTAGAAAATGTGACTGTGCCTTCATGTTCAGTTGTTGAGAGGATTCGGGGACACCTAAGGTCCCCAGAGCCGTGCTGGCCCCCAGTCAGGCTGCATGTCTGCTAAGTCGCTTCAGTCGTGTCCGACTCTTTGCGACACTGTGGAGTATAGCCCGCCAGGTTCCTCTGTCCATGGGATTGTCCAGGCAAGAATACTGGAGTGGGTTTCCGCGCCCTTCTCCAGGGGAATCTTCCTAACCCAGGGATCAAACCGGAGTCTCGTATGTCTCCTGCATTAGGCAGGTGGGTTCTTTACCACTCACACCACCTGAGGTGTGTTATCCATACTTGGAACTTCTTCTGCCTGTGCCACTGATCCCAGGGTTTTGGCTTGGTCATCCATAGACGACATGGCCTTTGACGTGTCCTGGTTTGCGGTGCACTCTTTCGGCCTGGACAAGGCTCCCGTCCTCCTCTCATCACTGGATCGGAAGGGAATTGTGAACACGGCCCAGAGGGACTGGAAGAGCAGCCTCAGCCTGGAGCGCATGAGCGTGCTGGAATTCTTGCTACAAGTGCATGGCTCCGAGGACCAGGACTTTGGCAACTACTACTGCTCCGTGACTCCGTGGGTGAAGTCACCCACAGGTTCCTGGCAGAAGGAGGCAGAGATCCAGTCCAAGCCCATCTTTATAACTGTGAAGATGGATGGTAAGAATGACACACAGATAACCTTCTCAGTGTTTGGGGAAGGTCTTCTCCGTGTGTTTTGCCACCACTGATGGGATCCAGCTTCTCACCCTTTGAGGAATGTGCCTGCTTTCTCTCTAGCCTGGCTCGGGCGTGTACCCAGAAAGAGCACACTCAGCCCTTGCTGTTTTCCCAGCTTAGGTACTGGGTGTGCTGGAGGCACCATTGGGAAATGATTTTTTAAACTTACTGGACAGATTTTCGATGCATTCTGTAAATTCTAGACATAGTCACTTTGTTGTATCCTAGGGTTGGCACGGATTCTGCCAGGCAGGGGCAGAGAACAGCATTGAGAGAGTGGGCCAAGGTCTCTAGTAGGGGCTGTGAGCGAGTGCCTGCCCCTTTTACCCTTCTACTGGTCCTGTGCCGTGCGAGTCGCTCGGTCATGTCCGACTCTGCCACCCCATGTACTGCCGCACATCAGGCTTCTCTGTCCATGGGCTTTTTCAGGCAAGAATACTGGAGTGGGTTGCCATCTCCTCCTCCGGGGGATCTTCCTGACCCAGGGATCGAAGCCGGGTCTCCCTGCCTCCTGTGTTGCAAGTGGATTCTTTACCCACTGAGCCATCCAGGAAGCCCCTTACTGGTCCTCCTTTTGGTGAAAGGGGGCTCCTCCCATTCACTAGCGCAGGGAGGGTTCTTCACAGAACCCTGAGACTGGAGGGGCGCTCCCGGCCTGGCTGGCTCACACTGACCGCCAGTCAGCCTAACTAAGCGGTCGGGGGATCCCCTCCCCACCCTTCTGCTCTCTGAGCCTCCTGGAGTGGGGGCACATTTTCCTTGGTTAACGGAAAACTTGTCTTCTCTGCAGAAAGTGTCAGAGTAAGTGTGAATTGAAAAAACTTATGGACAGAATTCAAGTCCAGGTGCCTGGAAGGATTAAGTAAGAGCCTTCATGTGTGTTTCCCTGACTATGTGTCAGTTTGGCAGGGACTGGAATTGGAGACCCAGCTCTTCCACAGACGACTTAGTCTTTCTAATCCTTTGTGTCCTCTCTTGCTAAATGAGATAATAATGTCTCATGGGGCTGTTGTGCTAAATGTCAGGCAAACAACCGCGGTGCCAGCCTCTACCCAATGTTTGCTGGTAATTTGGGGGACAGGGACTTTGTGGGTACAGGATCTGAACTGTATGCATTCCTGCAACTTAGTCAGTGATACCGTACTTGCCTCTTAGAAATGTCTTGCTTGAAGTCATTCCGTATGAAAATCCAGATTTACTGAACAAGCAGGGAGTGATTATTCACTTTGCTAGATAATTTACTATAGTGTTACTTAAAATAGCTCCCCTAGTACACTTCAGTTATCTGATGCATAGAATTGATTTATGTACAATTTTTTTTTTTAAGGATGCATCTGCTGCCGAATGTGTGGTGCCCTTATACTGACTTTTAAAAATCAATCTCCTGCCAAAACCCTAAAAAGCAAGTTGACATTCAAAGATATCGAAGGAAATCTTTTTTTTCTGGGTTCCCCCCACCACCACCCTGCCTGCTGTGGAATTGGGTGGGGATATATTTGCTCATTTTTGGACGCCTATGGCTGAGCTGCCCTTGTCTCAAACCCTGTGCTAGGTGCAAGATCCGTGAGGTCAGACTCCTGGGGGAGACCCCGGGCAGTGGAGGGGGGAGGCGATGGTCTTCCCTGAGCTTTCCCACCCCACAATTCGCATCACTCATTCTGTCCCTCTGATCTCTCTCTCCCAGTGCTGAACGCCTTCAAGTACCCGCTGCTGATTGGTGTCGGCCTGTCCACGGTCATCGGGCTCCTGTCCTGCCTCATCGGGTACTGCAGCTCCCACTGGTGCTGTAAGAAGGAAGTCCAGGAGACCCGGCGAGAGCGCCGCCGGCTCATGTCCATGGAGATGGACTAGTTGGTGCCAGAAAGGCCGAGACCGAGGGACGGTCGAGGAGCGGTTTGGGCGAGATGAGGACAGCAGTCTTTTAACTCGAAGTGTGTTACACTAAAAACCAGTCCTCTCTAATCTCAGGTGGGACTCGGCGCTCTCTCTTTTCTGCATGTCAAGTCCTGAGCGCAGACATGTTTACCAGCACACGGCTCTTCTTCCCACGGCACTTTCTGATGGAACAATCGAGTGTGTGTTTTCCTGACGGCGGCTTTTTAATGGTTAACCTCTAATTTTTTTCTCCTACTGGCTTATAGATCTCTGACTTGTGTATGTTTCTACCTTTTGTTTTGAGGGGTTGCAGTGAGAAAGGGGTGAAGGCGTTCAGAGTTCTTTGTCTCGGGTGAGATCCGTACGGCTTCCGAGTCGGAGGCACGTGCTAAGAGAGCTGCTAAAGGCGACCCTCTACCCCGGCCGAGGGACAACACAGACCAGTGCTGAAGGCTAATGTGTGGCTTTTACTACCCTCCCACCCCCTATTTTCCAGGGGGTTTAGGCTACATTTAAAATCTAAACCTGCAGTCCGTAACTTCCTATCAAGCCCAAATGCATTTTGTTTTTTGGTTTTCTGCTTCTCTGCCCCCTTTCCACTTCTCTCGTATTTGCTTTATGTGCGAGTGCTGAAATGGCCCTGGAATCGAGAATTTGGCTCTCCACCAAGCACCTTATCTTGCCACCTTAGCCTTAAGAATGAGTATGAAGAAAAATGCACAGCCCCCTCTGTCCAGGGCAGTGAGAAGGCCTGCAAGGAAGAAGAGGTCGGGGACAAGGAAAGGAACAGACAGTCACTCCCATAGTCCCGAGGCTACCATGCCTCAAGGGGCCCCAGAGATTGCAGAAGGGAGATATCCTGGAAGTTCGATTTCTGCAGTTCATGCCAGAGGGTCAGTAGTGCAGGGGTGTGTCAGGTGGAAGAAGCCACCTGTCTTCCCTGTCCCACCCTTTGTGAGAGGCTAAAGCCTTGTGGGTCTGCAGGGGGAACCACAGACACCCCATGTCCTTCACGGGCCACTTGGGCTCTTTAATGTGAAGTCAAATTGCTGCTTGCAAGACTGACTTCACAGAATCAGAAATTACCCAGAAGAACCATGCATTTTCTGTGACCTTGTCAGTCCTTCAAGTCTTTTCAAAAATCCCCTGCAGGAGGTTAGTGAGAAAGGGTATATTTTGTGGTGTGTTTGCTTTCCTATTAGGAACACAGAGGAAACCCAGCAATTTATTGCCATGTGAACAGCCTACAAAGTAGATCTGAGAGTGGTCCACTTTGCCCGATCACTCGTACCAGGAGTAGGACAACAGTCCCGAAAAGATCTGTGACTTGCCCCTACACAGCGCTGGCCTTTCAGAAGCATCCCAGTGGGGTTTTCCTGAGGCTCCCTCGTGACTCAGTCCCCACATTGCATTCTGCGTGCTTTTACCCTGGTTCTGAAGGACCTAATACTGCTTTGTCTTCCAAAAGGGAAAAAAAGATTCATTTGTTTTGAGCAATAAAGTAATACAAAATGATGGCCATTCATGTGCGGCTCTCTGTCACAATGGGCCGGACGAGCTGGACTGATCCCAGCTCACCATCTTCCCTTCTACTTCCCTTACTCTGTTGCCCACGATTCATTCTGCACGTATCACCAAGTCACCCCCAGATGGCAGATTGCCACCAAATTTTTCCTTTTGGTTTTGCCCACCAAGGGGCCCGCTCACATGATTGGAACTAGATTCTGTACTAATGGTAGCAGCACAGAGGAATTCCGGGCCTAGCATCTGTGGCAGGAAGATGTACCGCAGGTCTGCTCTACCAGAGCACGAAAGACCAGGGGAAGGGGAAGAGGCTGTGATAGCACTAGATTGGGGTATTTCCTACATGCCGTTTCCTAACTGTGCCATCTCAGAGGAGGTGAGTCACAGGTGATTGTGCAAATGGGAAATGGACACAGGTGCTGCGTTCAGAGCAGCCAGTGCCCTTTGAGCCCTCACAGTGATCAGCCTCCTGAAAGGAGGTTCAGGATCGTTGCAGTACAGGCCCTTGGAAGGAGGAAAGGACACTTGGCTTTGGATGTGACCTGGTGGCCCCAGGTGTATGTGAAAACATGGACGGGTTGCAGCAGACAGCCTATGGCAGTAAAGGTGACACGTGCTCGCACACTCTACCTTTTCCTTCCAAACTGCTGTTGCAGTTCAAGGCTGGGGCTTTTATGGCATTGACTGTGCCCCTAGCCCCACCGTCCATCCACTGGGCTGGTACAAAGTAGGGAGAAGTCACAGGGCATTGTACCAAGGACCTCCTTCCTTCCAAGGACATAAACATGGCTGGAACATGTGTCCTGGTCAGAGTGTGAGATGTACTCTTGTTATACCAAATAGGGCCCCCTGCTCCGTGCTTTTCTGGAAAAGATTCCCGCAGAAGCACTGGAATGAAGGCAAGGACCCAGCCACGACTGACACGGATGACAGTGCACTGCTTAACACAAAGAAACTTGATAGAAAGTTTGACTTTTTTTTTCTTCTTCTAGTCATAAAAATATCCCCAGAAGGAGCCTAAGCTATATTCAGATAAAAGCCTGAAAAGTACTTTCCATTGTTTACTTTATAATGTTTACATATACTTTTCACTTTTTAAAAAAAAGAAAATGCCAGCTCTGACTTTTTAACAACTTTTCAGATTTTTCATGGGACAGTGGAACTCTGACTCACCAACTGGATTTAAAATCTTAATTTAGACATGTATTTATTTGTGTGTTTTCTCCCCTCCTATCTATGTGGCTTTCCCTAAGATCCTGGTCAAGGTGGCTTCTCCTGCCCAGACCCTTGTCTTTTTTCCCCTGGTGGCTCTTTGCTTTGCAGACTGCCTGCAGCCATGATTTTGTCACTGACATCTGTGAGCCAAAGACTGAGCCTCTTTAGCAGGAATAATAAGCAATACTACACAACTTGCTACTTTCAGAAAACCTTTTTTTTTTTTTTAACCTTCACCGATGACAACAGAGGAAGAAGGGAACTGGGATTTGGGTAAGTTCTCCTCCGCTGTTTGACCAAATTCTCAGTGATAAATATTGTGTGCAGATCACTAGGAGAAAAAAGTTGACTTTCTTTCTTTTTTAGCGTGGCACATACAGATCTGCCGAATTTTACGTAGACAAAAGAAAGGGTCTTGTGTATTTTTGTCCATATCCAATGTTATATGAACTAATTGTATTGTTTTATACTGTGACCACAAAATATTATGCAATGCACCGTTTGTTTTTTATTTCATTAAAGGAAGTTTAATTTAAACTGAAGTTGTGTGAGGCACTTTTATCTCCTCCGCGTAAGGGACTGTGGCTGAATTCCCTTGCCACTTGAGAACCTTCTCATGTCTTGGAATCCCGTGAAAGTGTTGTAGATGTTCACCAAAGATAAAAGAAGAAATGGATTTAACAGGACCACTAGTGAGATTTCCACCAAGTGGAAAAGTGAGGGCTGGGGCCCCTGCTGAGGATGATCTCTCCGTCTCTGCATGCATTCTCACGACCTTATAGGACCCTTGTCAGGAAAGAGAGAAGTTAGAGGCTGTTCCTCTCTGCGGATGAGGAAACACACCCAAGTTCTGTGACCATGTCATGCCTGGAACAGAACAGCTTTTCTGACTCATGACCCAGTCTGGAGCCAAACAGGTCCAGAAGGTGTTAACCCCTGTATTATGTAAAAACAATCCTTTCCCCATGCTGCTGGCTTCAGAGTCCAGGACAGGAGAGAGTGCTGGGGCTCCCACCTCCCTGCTGGCCTCAGGAGCAGCCGCTCAGCCTCGGCCAGCCTTCCCTCTTTGTGTCTTGGGCAGGGACCACCTCACTTGTGAGGTCTTCAGAGGCTGGATCTGTGTCCTGGTTAACTAACCTCGCCTGGGGCTTGGCCTTGGTCCAGGCGTATGGAAGGGACTTGTTTTTAGTTGCCAAGTCGTGTCCAACTGTTTTTTAACTCCGTGGACTATAGCCCGCCAAGCTCCTCTGTCCATGGGATTTCCCAGGCAAGAATACTGGAGTGGGTTGCCATTTCCTTCTCCAGGAGATCTTCCCAGACCAGAGATTGAACCCACATCTCCTGCATTGGCAGGCAAATTCTTTACCACTGAGCCACCAGGGAAACCCCATAGAAGGGACTAGAGATTTATGAATGCACAGCGAATGCTGTCCTGTGGGAAATGGCCCAACACTGCATGCATTTCCATGAAAAGGGAGGATTCTGCTCACATCGAAACACTGACACAGAGCTGGTCTGCAGCAGTCCCACACCTCTTGCTGAGCCTGTACCTGCCTCAGTTTATATTAAAAGCAAAATAAAAACTTGCTCACACACCTCCTGTGGCCAAGGCATTGTGCTCAGCACAGAAAACCTCCCACTTATGTCCTTTCCTAGAGGGCTTGGCAGCTGCTATTGGCTCATCCAGAAACCTCTTTCCACCTGTCCCAACTCCTGCTTCTCTGTCAAGTCTCAGGGAGCCTTTATCTACCCCTCTAGGCTAGAAGACAGATCCTCTGGTTGTCTGAAAGTGGCCCGAGGGCAGGGACCTCTTCCCACTGTGACAATAGCTAGCTAACACTGAGATGCTTTGATGTGCTCTGCACCTGGGTGAGGGCACAAGGGCTTCCCTGGTGGTTCAGGCAGTAAAGAATCTGCCTGCCAATCAATGCAGGAGATGCAGGAGACGGGTTCAGTCCCTGGGCTGGGAAGATCCCCTGGAAGAGGAAATGGCACCCCACTCCAGTGCTCTTGTGGCAAGGAGTCAGACTTGACTGAGCATGCATACGCATGCAGTCGCACCTGGGCAAGAACCTCAGGTCACCCGAGGTGACCACTGCAGATTTCTTATGTGCTCTTCATGTAACTGGATCATCCAGCTAACAGCCACCCCGTGTCCTCTTACCCACAGACCAGTGTGTGTAGCACACCGTTTCAAAATACAGGTTTTATTATTTCGGTGAAGCAGGGCCAACCAT